AAAAAAAAAAAAAAATGTTGTATAAAAAGCTTTGCAATTTCAGGTTCCATTCCATATCCTGCCTCATTAATAGTCTTAAACTTAAGTCAACTAACAGCTCCAACAATATGATGCAGAGAAATATTAATACTTCACAAAAAAGTAAACTTGGATCTAGAGATAATTATCACTAAATCATCAATAAGAACACACTGCAAGTCTTTTATATTGGAAGGCTTCTGATTTTACCTTCCTATGTATGTCAGTTTCTATTTGCCATCATCAAAGTCAAAGGAGTTATCCATATAATTTCCCTAGTGCCCTGTCACAGGTAATGTAATCTTACTGCTAGAAATCTGTTAGAACCCTCTGCATTTCTTTTATACTATAACCAACCCAAAAATGCCTTCCTAAGTGACATTAACTCCAAACTCTGGTTTGGTGCCAGATGGAGTTAGCTCACCTGTCAATTATGTCTTAAAGTAGAAACTACAAGGAACATTGGAGTAAGGTAGTTTATAAACCCAATCAGACAAAGAGAAGGACTTTATACCAGCAGGAAAGGGCAAGTAATCTTTTTCCTCAGGTTAAATTGTCCTGGTTGTTACACCTGCTAATCAATCCTAAATACACAGTTCCCAGGCAGGAAACCATTTCATTTGTCATTTATTGAAGGAGGCTCCTTCTGGCTGGGTTCCAAGTCAGCAGGAACTCACAAATCTCTCTCCAGGAGCTGTGCTTCCTGGTTCAGGCTTGTTCTGAATGGAATCAGATTCTGTGCTTAAGTAAGCAGTAAGCTAAACAATCATGGAGACCAGAGTCTTATCAAGGTAAAATTATGATGACCTACACTTAGCTCTTTATTTTCCAAATGAGCTAACAATATCTGATAGGTAAGAATGTAGTACAGTTTAAGAAGTGCAAACACAAAAGCCATGAGTCTTTTAAGCCCAATGTGTAAAGATACACTCTGAGTTATAACTCAGAAAAAAAAAAAGAAAGAATGTAGTACAAATGGCAAGTTTCTTCCTCCTATAAGTTCAGAAAAAGGAGAAATAAGTTGCCTAGAAAAATTTTTAGGAAAACTTACAGTTTACTTTAGGGGGGAATTTTGGAGAATTGGCTCGATTTAGATAAATAGAGAAGTACAGGAGAGTGTATCAGGCTGAGAAAATGCCATTAACTAATATATGGAAGAGGAAATGTGAAGGTTAAGTTGTGAGATAATGAGCAATCTGGCAGGATTAAAAGTGTATGTTCAGAAAAACAGACATTCCCCACTGGCAGCTCTGAAAAACCATCTTAATATTGTTCCTGGGTCTGGCTTCCTTTTCATCGTAACCACCTCTGCCACGGTGGACTCTGGCAGCTTTATTGCCAGAGTCCTTGAACTCTTGCTTTTCTTCTCATCCCCCACATTGGACCACTGATGTGCCCCACCATGTCAGACACAGCCATGGACACCAGCTCCAAGATCACCACCAAGGACTTAAAGGAGAAGAAGGAAGATGTGGATGAGGCAGAGAATGGAAGAGACATCCCTGCTACCGGGAATGCTAATGAGGAAAACAGGGAGCAGGACGCTGACAATGAGGTAGATGAAGAAGAGGAAGAAGGTGGGGAGGAATAGGAAGAAGGTAATGGTGAAGAAGAGGATGGAGATGAAGATGAGGAAGCTGAGGCCACCATGGGCAAAGGGGCAGCTGAAGAGGATTATGTTGATACCAAGCAGCAGAAGACCGATGAGGAGGATTAGACAGCAGAAAAGAAAAAGTGAAACTTAAAAAAAAAAAGGCCCCCATGACATATTCCACCTCAGGCAGTGCCACCTGCAGATGACATGCGCTCTTCACTACCTAACCAAAACCATGAGAATTTGCAACAGGGGAGGAAAAAAGAACCAAAACTTCCAAGGCCCTGCTTTTTTCTTAAAAGTACTTTAAAAAGGAAATTTGCTTGAATTTTTTATTTACATTTTATATTTTTGTATATATTGTTAGGGGTCAGCTATCTTTAATGATCTCAGATGACCAAATGAGCCTTCAGAACGTTCTCTGTCTTACTTCTTTTTTTTTTTTTTGAGATGAGCCTCAAGCTGTCCCCCTGGGTAGAGTGCCGTGGCATTACAGCTCACAGCAACCTCCAACTCCTGGGCTCAAGCGAGTCTCCTGCCTCCGCCTCCCAAGTAGCTGGGACCACAGGCGCCCGCCACAACGCCCAGCCATTTCTTGGTTGCAGCCGTCATTGTTGTTTTGGCGGGTCCGGGCTGGGGATTCGAACCCGCCACCTTAGGTGTATGTGGCTGGCGCCTTAGCCGGTTGAGCTATAGGCGTCGAGCCTCTGTCCTACTTCTGACTCTGACTTTACTTGTGGTATGATTATGTTCATTATAATCATGGAGAAAAAAACCTTGTTAAAAAAGCAAAAACAATGAAAAATATCTTATTCTGAGCATTCCAGTAACTTTTTTTGTGTATGTACTTATCTGTACTATAAGTAGTTGGTTTGTATGAGATGGTTAAAAAGGCCAATGATAAAAGGTTTCTTTTTTTCTCTTTTTTTGTCTATGAAGTTGCTGTATATTTATTTTTGATCTGTTTGATGTATGTGTGAAACAATGTTGTCCAACAATAACCTGGAATTTTATTTTGCTGATTTGTTTTAACAAAAGTCAAACAGGGTGGCGTCTATGGCTCAGTGGGTAGGGCATGGCCCCATTTACCAAGGGTGGCAGGTTCAAACCCAGCCCGGCCAAACTGCAACAAGAACAACAACAAAACAGCCAGGTATTATGGCACTTGTAATCCCAATTACTAAGGAGGCTGAGGCAAGAGAATCACCTAAGCCCAAGAGTTGGAGGTTGCTGTGAGCTGTGACAACACAACACTCTACCAAGGGCGCTAAGTGAGACTCTGTCTTATTAAAAAATAAACAAACAAACAACTCCCCCCCCCAGAAGACATGACATTAAATTCTTAGCTAAAAAAACTGAAAGGTGAACTTGGGGTTCAAGACTACACATAGGTAACTACTAGATGAATTTTCTATCCTAAAAGTATTTTTTTGGTTATGATTTAACTTTTGGAGGTATTAATTAATTCAACTTCACTGATTCACTCCTTCAATTCCAGAGACCATGTGGACTGAAGGGACCCACACTCCTTTATCTCTGTTTTGATGTGGCACAATGTGACAGACTAAGTTTGTGAACAGAGACACAGTTGGGTATGACGTAAAGATAACAAGAAAACAACAGATGGTTGTGAGGAAGAGTGGCATAGAGTTTCTCTATTCATGAACATGTCCTCCCTATCTCAGCTCTAGGCAGTTCTTACAAATAAGTAGAGTAAATCCCAAAATATCAACCTAACTCCTTGTCATCTTCTCATAATTTTGATTAATTTAGCCTTTAAGTCTTTTTCAGTTTCAAAAAAATCCCTTTTAAAATATAAATAACCCTCAGAAAAAAGTTATGGCTTAAATTTCAGCTAACACCTTAAAATCTAATAGTTAAAACAGCTTCAGTGTTCAAGGGAACATTAAAATACTGCTATGGTTTGAATGTGTTTCTCAAAGTTCATGAGCTGGAAACTTAATTCCCAATGTAACAGTGTTGAAAGATAAGACATTTAAGAAGTGATTAGTTGTGAGTGATTCATTCTGCCCCCATGAATGGATTACTGTTGTTATCAGGAGAGAAGGTTCATTATAAAAGTGAGTTTGGCCCTCTCTGGTGGTTTCTCATTTGCCCTCTCTTGGCCCTCTGTCATATGCCATGGGATGACACATCAAGAAGGCCCTCACCAGATATGGGCACCTTGACCTTGGACTTCCCAGTCTCCAGAGCTGTAAGAAATAAAACTCTGTTCACTGAATCCAGCCTCAAGTATTCTGTTATAGCAATGAAAAATGGACTAAGACAAATACATTCCTCTCCCAAAAACAATTCTATCATCAAATGTATTTGATAAACAGCAATGCACATTAGCATTGAAAAGGCACCAAGGCCAGAAGTAAAATACAAGTATTTCTACATCTCTTTAACTACTAGAGCCATTTCCCCCAACCTCAAAATACATATTAATACATTTTAAGAAATAAGTATTGTATAGAACACAGTTTGAAAACATAAAATTAAAAATGAATCGATAGTTAATAACAAGGAACAGAAGAAAACACTGGGGTGGGGTACATTAAGAAGTATGGAAGAAGGCAAACACAGATCTTTTCTACTTTATAATTTTGTTCAAAAACATCAAGCCATTTGTTACAGACTCCTGTTAACAGACCTTAAAATAAGAGGGTATGATCTACTCTATAATTATTTGTCCCTTTCTAAACAATATTAACCTCAGGCCCATTTCTAGAACATTGTGATTTCTCTGTATCACTCATTCCCACATGTTACTAAAAGTAGAATGAAGCAGAAAGCTAAATACACCATAGAATTTTTAAGTCTTTCCCCACTATATAGAGTAGTAAGGGGTTGGAAATAAAAGAACTTTGTGAATGGCTGACTATCTTTATAAAGGGTCATTTTTATGCTACTGGTATCAAATGCAACTTACCAGCTCTGCAATTCAGAAAAAGCTTGTTTCATTTTCTTAATGGAAGCATCCATCTCTTCTTTAACTACAACTCGATACCGTGCAAGAGACACTGTGCAACGCTGGAGGTCTTTTACCGATTTTTCAATATTGGAACCTTGGGGGGAAAACCAAGGATTAATAAAGAAAAGGAACACAGGTAACTTGAAAGTTAGATATGAACACCTAAGGTAAATGTCATGTGGACTAAGGATATTTCCTAAACGACCACTCTCAACAACAACAACAAAATGATATTTTCATAGATTAAAAAAAAAAAAAAGTATCCAGATCAAGAATTGGATTTATCCTCCTATTTTATGCAACTAAATACACCAATGTACACACACAAACACAAAATATGTCAAACAGTGGTAGGCCAAGGGACAGGAAGTAAACTTTTCCCTTGAGAAAACCAAAACAAATGAAGTGAGGTCTACGATTGTCTCAACTTACTGCCTCAAAAGAGTTTCCAGGCTGCAACGCAGGGAAGAGAAATCCTTAACTACTGAGCTTGGCAGTCTCCCTGACTTGAGGGGCTGAATTGAGAATTCAGGAAGGCCCAGGTGGTTAGAATTCTCAGAGCAGAGTACTGGTGAAGAGAGAGCTACACAGAGATAGATCCACAAAGATTCTGATCAGTGCATGAGTATGAAGAAACTATCCCAAGATAGGGAAAAAAGATGACCTTTGTTTCTTTCTAAACAAAAGAACCAAAAATAAGAAGCAAAAGCTGCTCTAGATGAGAAGGAATCAGAAAAGGATCTCCAGAAGGAATCAGTAAAGGATCACCAGAGTGAAAGGACACCCCTAAAGAAAGCAACAATCCCATACCAATGGAAATCAATCAAAATAAGAATATTCAAATGACGGATAAAGAATTTTGAATATGGATTACAAAGAAGCTCAATAAAATGCAAATGAAAATAGAAACCCAAAACAAAGAAATCACAAAAATACAGGAAATGAATGAAAAATTCACAAAAGAAATAGTTATTTTTAAAAATCAAGAAGTTTCAGGAAATGAAAAATTCATTCAAAGAAATGTAAAACACAATGGACAGCCTTAAGAATAGGCTTGATCAAGCAGAATAAAGAATCACAGAACTAGAAGACAACACCTTTGAATTAAACAAGTTAATCAAAGAGAAAATAACAGAAAAATAAGATAGGATGGGGGCGGTGGCTCATGCCTGTAATCCTAGCACTCTGGGAGGCCAAGGCAGGTAAATTACTTGAGCTCACGAGTTTGAGACCAGCCTGATGAAGAACGAGACCCTGTCTCTACTAAAAATAGAAAAACAGAGGCAAGAGGATCGCTTAAGCTCAAGCGTTAGAGGTTGCTGTGAGCTATGATGCCATAGCACTCTACCCAGGGTGATAGCTTTAGACTCTGTCTCAAAAAAATAAAAAGAGAGAAAAAGAAAAAGAAGAGGAACCAATAAAGTCTACAAGAATATGGGATTAGGGCTCGGCGCCTGTGGCTCAAGCGGCTAAGGTGCCAGCCACATACACCTAAGGTAGCGGGTTCAAATCCCCAGCCCGGACCTGCCAAACAACATGATGGCTGCAATCAAAAAATGGCCAGGCGCTGTGGCGGGCACCTGTAGTCCCAGCTACTTGGGAGGCTGAGGCAGGAGACTCGCTTGAGCCCAGGAGTTGGAGGTTGCTGTGAGCGTGATGCCATGGCACTCTACCCAGGGGAATAGCTTGAGGCTCCATCTCAAAAAAAATAAATAAATAAAAAAAAAAAAAATAAAAAAGAATATGGGATTAGGTAAAGAGGGCTACCATAGGCATCTCTGAGAGTAAAGAAGAACATACACAAGGGCTGAAAAACTCATCTGAGAGAATTACTTGAGGACAATTTCTTAGGTCTTGCTAGAGAGTACTGGACTCCTGGGAGATTCATCACTAAGAGGTAATCACCAGGACATGTAGTTATCAGACTGGGAAAAGTTAACTGGAAAGAGGAACTCCTATGAATCATAAGGAGAAAGCATAAGATAACTTATAAAGGGAAATCTGTCAGATCAGCTGCTTAACTTATAAACCAAACCTTATAAACCAAAAAGAACTGGGGTCCTAGTCTCAGTCTTCTCAAGCAGAATAAGGGCCAGTTTAGAATTCTGTATCCTGCAAAACTAAGTTTCTTATATGAGAGAGAAATAAAGACTTTCTCAGACAAGCAAACACTAAGGGAATTTGTCAAGACCAGACCTGCCCTACAGGAAGTATTCAGATTTGCATTACCCTGATCAGCACAATAGACATCCACCAATGTAAAACCATGCAATTGCTAAAGTTCAGAGCCCAAATATCAAAATGGCTCAAGAGCCAAAATATAGCAGTTAAGTTCTGCTCAACAGGATGAACAGAAATTCATCCCACTTATCAATTCTCTCAATAAATGTGAATAGGCTCAGTGCCAGTAGCACAGTGGTTATGGTACCAGCCACATACAACTGAGGCTGGTGGATTCAACCTGGCCCAGGGCCAGCTAAACAATAATGACAACTGCAACAAAAAATAGATGGGTGTTGTGGTGGGAACCTGTAGTCCCAGCTATTTGGGAGGCTGAGGTAAGAGAACTGCTCAAGCCTAAGAGTTTGAGGTTGCTGTGAGCGTGATGCCACAGCACTCTACCGAGGGTGACACAGTGAAACTCTGTCTTAAAAACAATAACAAAAAAAAAAAAATGTGAATGGATTGAATTCCCCTTTCAAGAGACACAGACTGGCTGAATGGATAAAAAATATAAGCCAGGCTAGATGTGGTGGCTCGCACCAATAATCCTACCACTCTAGGAGGCCAAGGCAGGAGGATCCCTTGAGCTCAGGAGTTCAAGAAAAGCTTTAGCAACAACGAGACCCCATCACTATTAAAAGTAGAAAAGTTAGCCAGGCATTATGGTAGATGCCTAGTCCCAGCTACTCAGGAGGCTAAGGCAGGAGGATTGCTTTAGCTCAGGAGTTTGAGGTTGTTGTGAGCTAGGGTGAGGCCATGGCATTCTAGCCAGGGTGACAGAGCAAGACTCTGTCTCAGGAAAGAGAAAAAAAAAAAAAGCCAATTATCTGCTGTCTCTGGAAATGCATCTATTCCATAAAGATTCATTCATATTCAAGGTAAAGGGATGGAAAACAATATTCCATGTAAGTGAAAACCAAAAGAAAACTGGTATAGCCATTCTCATACCAGATAACATAGATTTCAGATTTATAAAATAAACATTACTATATGTAAACAAAGTGATAAATAGCAACATCATAATACTGGGGACTTCAATACCCCACTGACAGAACTGGATAGATCCTCCAAGCTGAAAATAAATAAAGATGCCCACACAAGAAAAAATTCAAGTTGGGGGAGAGGAGGGAAGGAAAGGGGTTTGGTAAGCTCTCACCTAACAGGTACTATGTAGGGGTATATGTATACCTCCCAGTTGAAGGGCTCAACTACAACCAACTTGGATTGTACCTAACACAAACAATGTAAAATAATCATTTGTATTCATACATTAATCTGAAATTTAAAAAAAGAAAAGAAATAAAGAAACACGGGATTTAAATGAGACTCCAGAGCAAATGGCTTAACAGACATCTATAGAACATTCTACCTCAAAACTACTGAATATATGTAATTCTCATCAGTGCACAAACATTCTTGAAGACTGATCACATCTTAAGCCACAACACATGTCTCAACAAATTCAAAACAACAGAAATTATACCATGTACCTTCTCAGAACATAGTGTAATAAAATAAGAAAGCAACTCCAATGCATAAGGTTAACCTTATGTAATAATTCTACATAAAGTTATTGAGAGCTCAAAGACCAAAAACAAAAGATTATTCTGAAATGTGAAGAAAAGGAAATGGAGTCCAGGTTCTGAGTGGGTAACACTGGCCTTTTCCCACAGGGGTGCGACTGAGCTGAGCTCGAGAAAGAAGTCAGCACTGGGTTAAGATGGATGGGGATTTAAAGGGTTAGGAGGGTGGGGGTGGACACATTCTATTTGAGTGGGTTGATTCTATTTGGGTAGGTTTGCTCTTTGTAGGTGGGTCCCTCCATTTGACTCTATCATCCCTGCCTTTTTTCTCTAGGAGGTGGAATGATGGCTGGGCATGGGCTGCCTGTAAGGAAAATGGGGTTGGGGAAAGCAATGTTTACAGGAACACTCTTGGTCTTCAGTTTGAACTGGTTGATATTCATGCACGGCAAGGATATGAACAATTATTTTTCAGGGGACTGCCTGGTCAATAAATCGGGAGATGAAACAGAGAATTACTGGTCTGAAACTGAGAATGAGAAAAATCATAATTAATGGCCCTAAAATAGGAAATAACCAAGGAGGCCATGATTCCAGCAGTATGAGTGTGGAGTAGCCTGAGGGCCTGGTAAATTACCATCAGTTCCCAAAATGGAGATGTTTGTGTAAAGGACCTTTATAAAATGGCAGCGTGGAAAAAGTTGGTCCCGTGTTTATTAGAAAAGAAACTGGCTTACCTTCCACTAGCAAAAATACCCAGAGTTTAGTTTTCTAGGACAGCATCTGGGGACATCCTGATTTTCCAGGGATTGTCAGTCTTTTGCAGCTAGGCTTAAAAGGTCAGGAAATTTTGCTAGGTCCTGGGAGTGACTGCAAAACCAGATCTTCAGAAAGACCTGGGCAGTTGGACTTCCAGCGAGGAACTTCACAGGCTGGACATGGTTTGAGGGGAGGGTTTGGATTTGGGCACTGCTTTGCCCAGTGTCCTGGGGGGAGAGATTTTGTTCTTTCTGAGTACCCTGTGGAGTTTCAAGAAGTAGCTGGGGTTTGTTTAATGGCAGAAGCCAATAACTGGAGTTTCAAAAGGCACTGCTGTTTAGAGGTCTTTTCTCAGTTATTAAAGACCTTGAAAGCCAGGTCAATGAGATCTTTCTAGGGGGTCTGAGGGCCCTGGGGGAATTTTTGGAGTTCTGCCATGTTTCTTTTCTCTCCTGGTTCTGCCATCTTTTCTCTCTTTACCACATAAGGTGGAGGGCAGTGGAGAGAGAGGGGGGGATGGGGTGGAATTCTGTAGGTAAGAATGAGGTTGAGGGAAGGGGGGCTCTGGAGGGGCAGAAGAAGGTTGTCT